ATAAAAAGTTGTTTTTAATAATATTTTTACATATTCATATACATATTTGAAATACAGAGACCCAATTAATAGTTATTAATAAAGAAATTTTTTTCTAACTACATTAATTGTTGTAGCAATAGTTATATATTAGGGGGTACTGGGGCAACTTCCCTATCGATTTTTTAATGTTATTACCATAAACGTTTGCACCCATATAAGTTTCTACCAAATGCCGCCTATGGTTAGATTAGCATATTATTTATACATATTTTTTATTATATTATTATATTATTTGTAATATTATTATACATATTTTTAATTTTTAATTCCGAATTGATTTAATATTTTATGTTTACCTATTTTGTGTTTGGGCACGCATTCGTTACAATAATATATTTTTGATTTTGATGGCTACTGCAATAGCTTGTTCGATTTTTTAAAAATATGATGGTATTGAGTACTGATAGTAGTGACCAGTGATCATCGATCAGTAGATAGTGTTGTATGTTGTAATAAGCTACAGCAATGTCTACACGATTATTTTCCAGTAAATACATAAGGGTTTCCAAACTTAAAAATGCTATAATTTATAATTGGCGGAAACCGGTGCAGACATCCTTTGAAGTGTATTTGCGACGACCATGCTCCCCTTTTTGTTTTGTTTTTCATTAACTCAACTAATTTTTAATTATGAGAATCAGATAAAAATAATTTTTAAAGTGACGATCAAGTTACTTAGAGTTTAAAGAGTTTAACTTTCCAAAATGAGCTAAGAAAATCGTGTTAATGGCTATTTAGACCGATTAAAAAAAAAATATTGTTTATAATAAAATATTAAAATATACAGAATTTCATTATTTTGTTATGTAACTGCAGTCAAAAGGACAAAAGCCGGAGTAAAATACATGATCAAAATACCCAATGTGAGTTAACGTTATGTATAGAACTATAGATTGAGAATCTAATAAAAATAATTTATATACTAAAAATGTGAAATAAATATAATATTTCATAAATCAATTATAATTCTTGTTTGTAATTAAATAATTCTTCTTCATTGTTTTGAGGATCTTCATCATCCGTATAATGTGCTGTCAAAACGTCTATTAAAGATTTTGATTGAAGTGTATCACTTTCRTCGTAATTATACAAAGAGAACATATGTTCCAATATCTTTTTTATTTTCACACCTTTCTTTGAGTAACCTGGAAAGCTGGGTAATCCTTCCGAGTTTTCTTTAAGAGCCATATATGCCTAATAAGTATAATACATTATTACATTGTAATAATACAATAATTATCAAATTATTAAATAGCTTAGTTTAGTTTACCAAAAAATCAACAGGATTATTTGGTCTCACTTTTGCAACTTGAACTATCAACTTTGTCAAAGCAGGAGTGACGTATTTTATTAAATATTCTTCGTTGGACAAACTTTCGGTGAATTCTAAATCAGTCAACTTTTCAAAATCTTCTAGCAATGTCATCTATAAAATAATACAAAATAATATTACATGATGTTTTTCTTTTTTTTTTTCGAATAAGTTCTCCTCTTACTAGCATAATATCATTATTATGAATGGGGCATGATGATTACAAATAAAGGTATATAATATACCTAATATATAGGGTTCGTGGTTCGGATTCAGAAGTTATAGAATTTGCATGATTTTCTATATGCTTTATAGCAACGCAACCTATTTATTTTATGCTGTACGTAACAGTGGAATTTGTTGTMTCCGTCTTACCAGTGCGTAATATAGCAAATTTACGCTCAGCAGAACACTTGTAACTCCTTTAGTTTAAAAATTACAGTGAATCGACCTATTATGAAACTTGATGGTAAGAACATTATCTGTGTTTGTATGTTGGTTTTTTACGATAATTCAATTTTTAAGTGAGTTATGAGCATTTTTAATGCACTGTATATTATATGCTCATAACTCACTTAAAAAATGAATTRTCGTAAAAAACCAACGTACAAACACAGATAATGTACCATACACTTTCATAATAGGTCGATTCACTGTAATTTTTAAACTAAAGGAGCTACAAGTGTTCTGCTGAGCGTAAATTTGCTATATTACGCACTGGTTAAGTGGTAAAGACGGAGACAACAAATTCTACTGTTACGTACTCTTAAAACATTAACTTTATTTTGCTAATGATTTTTCAATAAAAAGGCATATTTTATTTATTTTAATGAAAATAACGGTTTTTCTAGAAACAAATTTCAAAAAGGTTAAAATAACCCAATAAATAAATAAAGTGTTCTGCTATCATAATTGTAATATACGCCTATAACTATAACCATCAGCTGCTGACTTGCTGCTACTTRTGTATGCAGTTACTGTCTAGTTTACTACCTTAGATCATATACAATTGATAGAGCCGTGACCTATAGATAACATATATTATAACGTCGATGATGTACATGTTATAGCAACGGTGCATACTAGTTGCCTCCCAAAATATACGAATTGCTTCCCGTCCTTATCGTAAATAAAAACGTTAATTTACACTAGTTACCTCCAATGACCAGGTAGTTCATAATTATATACGAATTGCCTGCCAAAAATTTTCACACTAGTTGCCTCCCATATATAATTAAGTAGTGGTTCATAAACTTCACTAAACAGTTCTACATAAATAGGTAATGTTAATTCATTATTAAAAATACCAGACTTGGTAAAAACAATAATAATATAAAAATAATCAATACAAATADAACATATTTTACTACTAATTAAAAATATATAGTGCAGTTAAAAAACATCAGTCTTAGGTATAATATATATAGAATAATGTTATAATAGTAATTTTAGACAAACATTTGCTGTCTGGGATATGACATTTAAAAAAAATTATTTATTACTCATTATTTATAAACAAATTACACAACTATAAAAATAATAAATCAATAAGTCAAACAAAATAGGAAGTAGTACCAGCTATTATTAGTCAATAACATAAATGTATGGTAATAATAGTTTAATATAATATGTATATTGTATATAATGGTAAATTATTTATAACATTGCTTAGGCTTGTATTTTTTAGCCAATATTTGTAGGTACCTACTCAAAATTTGATATTTTTTTTTCACTCAGCTTTTTTATTTGGGTATCAATGAAAATTATTTTATTATATTCGTATCAAATATCAAATACGAAAGTAATATTGTATAACAAAAGTCATAAATTACGACTTTGAAATTACAAAGTTATTTTGCTACTGCAGCTACATGATGATTGAAAATGTTGGAACCACTCTCATATATTTATTACTTGACTATAATGGGAGGCAACTAGTACTAGCATTGACATTGGCGCAAATAGGTGGTGGCTTGGGGGGACTAAGTCCCCCATATTTTTGCCAACTCCCCCCGGTTCAAAAGTCATTAATTAGTACTGAGAATATATAATTTTTAGAAAATATTATAGGAGGGGCTTTAGTCCCCCCAAAATAATTTGTGTATTTGCGCCTATGAGCATTGATTAAATATATATTTAATATATGTATATTTAATCAATGGTATACTAGACCCTTTTCGTATATTATATCACTTGTATACCTACGACTTTTTTTTCGTGATCCTGATGGATAATCTCTCCTTAAAGTACCTACCCAGGTTGCTCATTGCAACCGATAAATAATATAATATATAATTAGATCCGTTTCAATAGTCTATTATAGCAACTTCATTTTTATGTAATCATAATTTTAAAAGATAGGTACCTTAGGTACCCTTAGGTACCGTACCTATATTATGGTTCAATGTTTTTGCGTGAAGCAGATAAAATATCAAATTGCACTCTACCTTTACTATACAGACTATACAGTTAATTTTGTTTCGTTCCTATAACTTGTAATAGCCACTTATAATATTCTATACATATAAGAATAGATTTCTGTCTATCTGTTTGCTTGTCCTTTACGAATTCCTAAACGGCTTGACCGATTGCAACGAAATTTAGTACAGGTAGATAAATTACACCAATATTTACGATGGAAATTTTTGTTTATTTATAAATAATTGCTAATAGTGATGGGTGCTATTAATGATAATTGCTTAGGTATGCATTATATTGTAGAGCATTCGAATTTAAGAATGAGGCACCAAGTATGTGCTGTGCTGGWGGAAAAGTAAAATTGCCAAAAWTACATCCACCATCCGAACCATTATCAACGTGACAACGTTGGCGAGACAATCATATCGAAACATTTCTTAGCGAACATCCGCAAATACAATTCATGATTCTAAATGACATATCATTCGGGGCGACGAATATTGTGCACGACAATTTCATACCAACATTCAATGTGCAAGGTCAAACCTATCATCGTGGTGGTGGTGGATCATTACTACCAATGCCAGATACGGAAGGTGCTCAAAGTGCTCAAACAGACATTTTGAGATTTACGATGGAAATTATTTTTTATTTATTAATTTATGCACCAGAAGGAAGAACAAAAAATATTGTGTATCCGAATACACCTCAATAAATACCATTCAATTGAATACTTGAATTGCTAGACTTTTCTGGATAAAACAAATAAAATTACATAATGATAAACTAAATTGAATATCGTTGTAAGAATGTAAGATTATTATTTAGTATATTTATATGAATGTATATTGTATAATTATATTTATATGCACAGAAATATACTGCTGCATAATCATAKGTAACGAATTTAATACACAGTTTGAAACATATTACGAATTTTAACGGGCTACAAAGTGGAAGTGTTCAGCTAGTTATAATATAAATTAAATAGATTTTTACTTTTTCCTTGAGTTGTTTTATTTTATTTTTTTGTTGTTCGATGTTACTTCCTTCCACTTTTGAATTCGTTTTACTTAAATCAGTAATTTTCTCCAATATTCCTATAAGTTTAATACAGCATAAATATTGTACCTGCATCGATATGAGTACCTTAATTATTATTATATTGAGTCTGATTCGTATGTATCTTATGATTTGATTTTTAATTAATTGTTATTTGTTAGATGTTAATTAATAGCATTATAATAATTAGTATGTTACTATAATTTTTCAATCACCATAATGTCGTTGATTCAATTTGATTTCTTTAATAACTATATTTAAAAAGCGTTCAAAATTTGGATCAATTTCTGGTAATTCAACTTTATTAGTATTCAATGTTAGAGGTAAGTACGGAGATTCAATCATTTTTATCGGAGCATAATGCAAATTGAGCAATTTCAAGAGATCGTTATGATTTTGTTGATTCCAAATTAAGCGTTTGCTAAAATAATCGAGTTACTATATTATTTTTCAATAATTAAATTGACACACATTTTTAAAATATTTTACGGTTTTTTTTTAATTTGTTTTTTTAGTATGGGTTTAGCGGCATTAACTGCGTTAGATGATACGGCGATATTAGAATTTGATGAATGTATTGTATCAACTTCTGAGAACAGGAGTCGTCTTTTTTTACTTGAATTTTCAAGCGTATTTGTATTGTTATTGATATCACTGTTCTGTTCAGTGAGTAAACTAACACCCAGTATGTTTTGCGTTAAATTAACTGTCAAATCTACAACATAATAATAACAACAAAAATGGCACATCAATTAGGTAATGTTTAAAAATACATACTATTATTATATATAAATTATAAGCTTACCTAACCTTTGATAAATATCTAATATGTGTATATATTTAAGTACCTTTTAGGCTATATTAATAAATACACCATTACTGTATATAAAATATTATATAGTATAGGTACTAGGTGGATAGAGACACATACATAATATTAAATATTATTATATAAAAAAAAATTACGGATTTGTATATCTACCAGGCAGTTTATTTATATCTATAATTGGTTGGAATAAATTTGTATCTTCGAATCGGAATAGCATTTTGGCTTGAACTACTGTCGTTGGATATCCATCTAAAACATACCCACGTTTAAAAAGTGCTATTCTTTCATTCAATAATCTATAAAAATATAAGAAATTAAGAACCCGTAAAATTTAGCTGCAGGTGGTATCTACTATTAARATAAATATAAAAAAATATTTACGGAATTAGATGAATGTCTTCCAAAACATCATTATTTGCATCCATGGACGAATATAAATTAGATAGCTTTTTATTTAATTCTAATATTTTGCTACTTATAATTGGATCAGTGTCACTTTGATCATCAGTATCATCTAATACATTTACTGAATCCTCGATGTATTGACTTTTGTGGTACAGTGAACTTATTTCTTCTCTCTTTACAAAATAATTTGACACCATTAATAATTTGTTTATTAAAAATAATTTATTTAAACTTACGATTCCATTAATACAGTCTTGAGTTATATTTTTTGGTTCCAAGTAAATCAAACCATAATACTGAGCAAGTTGAAGTGCGAGTTTAGTCTTACCAGAAGCCGGTGGACCGAGTATAATTAACTTAATACTCTATACAAACAAAATACACGTACATATATTATATAAGAACTTACTAGAAGTTTTCTAGTCAATACTAAGAAATTTGTGCTCAAAATGTAGATATTAAAAAAAATTATCACTTTAATATTATGAGCATTTTTGTACGTTTCAACTAAATATTTCATTGAATTCAGCATTGATGATTTATTATTGTACCACTTGAAATTAGGCCACAATCGGTTAATGCTCGAATTGACTTTAATATCGGCTGACATAATTTGTTTATGTATGCCCTACGGTTGTTTCGAAATTTATCTATTATATAGGTAAATGCTGAATAACAATCTGAATATTTTACTCACCTTGAGTTCATATTTATTCATGAATGTATTTAATGAAACAATCACTGGAGTTGGAACATCGCACGACTTAGCGAGAGCCTAGACAAATATTATTTAAATACGAATTCATGATATTTATTATGCCCGAGTGGCCGAGTATATTAGGATACTTACAGTGATGATTTGTTTTAATGTATTTATTGGACTTTCAACAGCAAAAATATAATGACACTCTAGTATATGATTATCGGATATTATTTTATATATGAGCCTAACACATACAGTTAATAAATAAACGCATAGTAATTATATATTTTATGAAGTCTTAAATAGGTATCCGAACCTAGCCAAATCTTGAACATGTATTACAGGTACGAGGTTATGACTATTTGGTATTGGAAATAAACCGGTAGTTTTACAAGCAGAGTCGAACGCGAATTTTAACAAATCTTGTTCAAACCCATATGTAAGACCAGCCCAAATGACTATTGTCTTTACAATTTCTTTTAACTAAAAACAAATAATAAATAAATATGTTGGTATAATGAAATAATTACGTGATCGGTGCATATTATAATTTATATTGTACCAATACAAAATGCAAATATTCTTACTCCTTGGGTTTCATTCACTGCTAACACTTCAAGTTCAAATTCATAATGCTTCACATATTCTGGATTTGGAACTCTATTATTCACATCATCTTCGCTCATATAATGCTTTTTAAATAAAAATGTATATTTGTGAATAAAATGATTACATACTTATTTAATTTGCTATTAATGTATAACAGTATAACTCACTCACTTTTTTATTGACTCCTGCCCAAGTCATCACAGTTGATATTACCACTATCAATTTAATGTTTTTTGAAACATAGGTTTTTTCCACACCTTTGAGTTTGAGAATTTCTCTTTTTAATGACCTGAATATTTCTTTTCCCTTAGATAATTCTGCAATATCACTAGATATATCAATAACTATTATACCGCAAGTTTTTAGTAACCCCAAAAGGTCAGAACTGTTTACTGTCCTCACAACTTCATTCTAATTTCAATATAAATAATTATTATTATTTCAATCTATATTCTAAAAACTTCAATAAAATAAGTAAACGCTAATAACTTATAACTAAATAAACTGTAGACCAGTAGTCGCCAATACCAGTCGATCGCGATCGATCTTTAAAGAAATATTGATCAATACACTTTTATGTTTCATATATTATATTTTCTTAGAGAACAAAAATATACAATTTATCATTTTGTTGCATGTAACAATATAAAATAATATACCTATAAATACATAATTAAATACTGATCGCTCACCAAATACTTCCTTTTTTTAATGTAAATACTTAACTCACTTGTTGGAAAAGGTTGGCGATACCTGGTATCGACCATATTTTAACTATAACCTACTTTCAAATTCAATGATTCATCATCTACTGCTTGAATATATATTTCGAATGGTACTTCTGTTTTTATATCTTCATTGCTTAATTTATCTAATTTTTCAAACGATACGTCATCTTCTAAGGATTTATTAAACACACTATAGTTATATATTATCGTTTCTAACCGTTTCCTCGGTTCTATACATAATAATCTAAAACCATATATTTTGTTAGTCAAATTTGAAAATCCAATGTGATAAAAATAATAATAATATGTAAATTATACAATATTACAATATACTTTAATATATATATTAAAAATTCACCTAAAAAATTCTACGCCTGTTAACCTATCAATAATATCATCAATAAAAAAGTCGTCATTTTCTCCCATTTCTAATTCATTTATATCAGCAGACTGTTGAGACCGTATGACATTAGATTGCCATTTTTGTGATATAAGTTGATAATTTKCTTTATCCAAACTAGATAAGAGGGCATGTGTTCTAGACATCCGGTTGTTTTTAGCCAATTTTGACGATAAAAACTAAAATTTTAATATGATAATTATTTAACAATATAAATTATATTTTAAATACCTTTATGAAATATTTTATATTAAATGAATTCCCTGGACTTATGAAAATACGATTAAAATTATAAGACCATTCAGACATCTTCATACGCTCGATGTATTGGTTAACATTGTTTTTGAGTTCAATTTCATCGAATACTAATCTAGATAAATAACTATCAGATAAAGTTGAATTAAAGAGACTCATGTTGTARGCAATCAATCAAATATCAAGTAAAATAGCCAAACAAGTACAAATTAGAACAAAATGTAGATATGTAAGATTAGTATAAAAAACCTTTACAATGATAAATTACACWTCGGTTGTTATGGTTTCTAACTAAAAAATTGTGTATACCTAGGACCATAGAGTAATATTACTATATAATAATATTAGTAATATTTATTACTCTATGCCCAGGACCCTAGGGCCTAGCAGGGGCGTAATTAAGGGAGGGATGAGAGGGATATATCCCCCCCCAGTGCCTATATAATGTGTATATTTATATATTAATTTGAAGCTTATGGAATTATATGTTTYATCGTGCTGACATCACGACGAAATATATTAAATATAATTAATATCAAGAAATCTATAAATAATTATTTAATTTAAAAGTAAATTTTAATTCTAATATATTCAAAATTTACATTTTGAAGAAATTATTATAATATTGTATAGGTACTAAATTGTGTAGAATTTTAAAGCACATATATTAATACATTTTGTGTATATATATATTAGTTTAAGAATTTTTGATGAAATAGTTTTCCCAGATATTGTACTTGAAAATCTAAGTATTTTGTGTGGAAAAAAATGTTTATCCCCCCCTAAGACAAATTCCTAATTACGCCACTGGGGCCTAGATATTTGGATATTTGGAAGTTTAAAATTGTGAGCTATACCTATTAAGAGGACGCCACACCCGCATGTGTTGCTCCGTCTTACAAACGTATAACATAGCAAAATCTGTTTAGCGCGGGACAACTGTTCTCCCTCAATATTTATAATAGAATTTTCAAAATTTCACAACGCATAGGTAAGAACTTTATCAGTGTCATAGCGTGTCATTATTTTTTTGATAGCACAAACCAATAATTTTAATTAATTTAATGAAAAAATAAAAAATAAATGTATTTTCTAAAGCTTATAACTTTAATTATATTTATGTTATCAAAAAAATAACGACGCTATGACACAGATAAAGTTCTTACCTATGCGTTGTGAAATTTTGAAAATTCCATTATAAATATTGAGGGAGAACAGTTGTCCCGCGCTAAACAGATTTTGCTATGTTATTATACGTTTGTAAGACGGAGACCACACATGCGGGTGTGGCGTCCTCTTAAGTACTGCAGGTAGTAATTTGATATTTTGTAGTTACTTGAATTATCTAGTTTATAAATAATATAATTGATAGGTATAATCTACTAACGTTCGTGAAGTTGGCCCTCCCATACCTAC